AAAAGATAATGCAACGAGCTGTACTTAATAACACGAGTAAATATTCAGAATGACGTAGTAAGCAATGTTTTTCGTAAGGGCTCCTTTATTAGCATGCTGACGGTGTTTAATATAGAACACGCGGTAGTATGAACGTGGTGTCATTAACGAAAGGTCTTAGAGTGTTGGAGTCTCAAAGGGTGCACTAAAGGGGCCTACAATCGATGCCCTTTAGGTACCTGACCCCTCTAGCCATTCAACAGGAAAGCGTTGTGAAGATGCAACCTCGTTCTTGGTCATCCCACCTTTTTATCACGTTTTTCTCTAGTTCCTGGCCACTTAGTTATAAAATTTATAAATCGTTCTTCAATTATTTTTCTTCGTCATTCTTAGTTTGCTTCGTTCCGCCGTCACTCTCATCAAAATTCTCGGAGACGTCTTTTATGTTCTCCAATCATGTAAACGTAATGCTTATAAACCAGTACATATAATACTAATACAGGCCCTTTTGGGAGTAAGTGTCTATTTTACCATACATAAGCATATCCGTATGTAATTTAAGTTATGGAATGATCTATAGTATTGTACCTGTGTTTTATGTCATTGTTTTTTGTTCCAGCGTTTATTCTTTCTTTTCCTTCACCTTTTCTCTACTTTGTTATTTACACCTTCTACAATAACATTCATGTGGACAGAGCATTAGTCTCATTATTACGCAAGATACATTGTGACAGTGTTAAAGGAACTGGAATTCAATGGTACAAAGATCGAACACTTCCTTCCGAAAATTTCCTTCGATCTGATCCTTCGAAACTGTGCCAGACGGCAACTAAGCCACGGAACAAAGCAGCTGACCTCACGAATTTTTCTATGTGCGTGTTGTCGGATCTTTGTATTTAGTTTTTCAACGACTTTTTAGCCGTAGCGCCACCTATGAGAAATCTATGAAAGTATTTCGTCACCACTTAAGTAACTTTACAGCTACGAACCCTGGCTAGAGATGTCGCTATTAACTGTGATTAAATATTCTGTATTGAAGTGTTCGATAGTTATAACAAACTTGTGGAGTCATTTCACAAAAATAAAAATTTAATGTCAATTCAATACAAGTTTAATTCATTCACTAAGGATGCAATCAGGAAGTCATATCAAAAGTAATTCACTGTCCACAAGTTAAAGGTTAAGTTTGTTAAATTCTTTTTCATGCTTATTACGCTACTCAGAACCGAGTGGTCAATTAGAGTCTGCCTGACATCAGATTCCTTGTTCGAGGCCTATGTGTCGACGGAAATGATGATGAAGATGATATACCCTTACTACTTACTTTCTGTAATGCGCTGAATAGCCTGCAGGAATCTGGCCGCCGACTGCTAATGGTAGGTGGTCTTCCCCTCCACAAACCCGGGCGTGTCACTCCCTTAAACCGTGCCCTCTGGTATAACCGGCTTGTCCGGCTCAGATTAACTCTAGCTGAGTGTGGTGCCAATTAGATATGAGCGCCGCGTTTCCCCCCGCGCCGCCGCCGGCGACAAATGCAATCGGCGCGCCGTTGAATTCTGTTCGATGAGACGCTCCAATCGCAAGCACGCACACGCTTCCGTATTTTGTATGCGTAGTGAAAATGAATACCAGAAATTGGAGTTTGTAAGATAAAAGTTAGTGACTTCATAATCGAAGATGTTTTGTTTAAAACATTAATTTGTCAATTTCTGGCATCGCCATTTTCACTACGCGTACACAATACGGAGGTAAAATAAAAATTTTATTACTATAGAAAATACCTACGTTATTTCATGGTCGCGCTCGCGCCGCCGGTTGGTCTATTATCGGCGCTCATATCTAGTGCCAATGAGCAATAAGTCTTTTGAGTCATCAAACTTACAATATGAACGCTGTGCTAAAGCATGCTGACAAGTGAGGTCCAACCCTTAACGCTTCGGCTGCGATGGCGATTCCAAACAAATCGATAATCGAATGAATAGTGGACAAGCATACTGTGTCTATATAACACCGGTAATAATAGCCCTTACCGCCTGACGTATTCCAAAGCATAGTACTCTTGTAGACAAGACGTATGTAGCAGTATTACTGATTCTCTGGAATTAGTTAATAATACCAATAAATAGGTAGAGCCACATAAGTTCATAGCAAAAATTCGTATATTTCCAGTAGTTCCATATACTCAGTTACACGTCGAGTATATGACCAGAAATAGAGACGAAATAAGGGCCATCCATCCCTGGCAACTTATCAGGCAAATGGGCCTTATATCACTTTTAAATATCAACTCTCATTTGCGATGAAATCACAAATTAGAAAGCTAAAATAGTACAGCGCCAACAACTGACCTGTGTGTACGTCTCCATATATTCCAAAAATATTCTGTATTTATTGTAATAAATATAATATCTCTAACAATGGGGGGCTTTTTCATAGATATAGGAAAAAAAGGGGAGTTTTGGTGGTTCGTGTCGCCTCGATATGGTCATTTTGACCATATCGAAGTGTCACATCTTCAAACATCGCTACAGTGACATGACGATCATTTTACATACAAGTACTCTCGAAAAACTTGATAATGCCAGGTTGTAGCGATATACATTATAAAAACAAAAATTTTAAAACCAGTGGGATAACATACCACCGTCTAGTTGCATTTTTAGGTACTATTTGTATTCAATGTTTTCTTTTAGTCTCCATAGAAATTTCTAGACTCAAATATAGTGATGTTCATTCACGATGATTGATGTTTATCGACAATTAATTTTTACTGAAATGTTTGAATTTCTTACTATGTTTTTTGTAATGAAAGTCCCTAAAATGTCGAAGCGAAAAGCTTTTACATTAAATTGATTTCTTTTATTTTATTATTACTAAACATTTTATTTCGAGTAACTCACAACTCGTATTTCGGACAGCCGCTTCAATTTCATGTCAATTTGTAAGTTGCTATTGCTTTAAGAAAAATGATTGTATTATTGTTTTAGATAATTTAGTTATTTAAATTCCATTATTAAACTGCCTCCGTGGCCGAACGGTTACTATGTCGGACTGCCACGCAGAGGTCCCAGGTTCGATTCCTGTGCCGGGAGAAATATTTGTATGGCCTACATTTATTTCTCTCGTGAGTTTCGGTGTAATTTGTGGTTGTCTATGTGTGTCTCCATGGCAACCGCGACACAGGGTTTCCTTAGCTCGGGTCTATGTTGAGCGTGTGCGTTATATCTATTTATTATATCTATTATACTCGTAAATTAAACGTATAGTACATTGACTTACAAATAAATGGACGACGGGTCTAATACAAAAACCACGAAAAAAATGTCCCAAGTCAACCTATTCGAAATTTAAATTGTAATGTCATCGCAGTATCGCGCTGTCAGTCGAACAAATGAAGACTAAAGCGGAGTTTGGCGCTCTGTATACGATTTTAGCGCCTTACAAGTGCGGACACTTTTTAGCGCGGACCCGACGTCCATATAATTGTAAGTCAATGGTATAGTATTATAAATTTTAAGTTTTTCCAATGAGTTCAAAATAAAAGAAGGTTGGATTGAAGCTGCAGGAAAATTGAAAAATTGGTTTTCTTATTGTTATTTCTGACTTTGTTTAAATTTCCATAGTAAATGGATTTCAAAAATAAATAAAATAAAATCGGCTTTATTTTACTTGTGCATGCAATATAAATTAGAAACAATTATAGAAAATTGCATAAATCCTTCAGAAAAAATTAAAAATTTAATTTATTAAATTGGTTGATGGTTCGAGTTTACTCTTGACAGTGACAGCTTCACCAACCCGTGGTAACGTATAATGGAAAACTGATACTGGCGACGATCGTCATAATTTTTATATTATTCTTATAAAACAACACTGGCTAAGCCCAGTGGCCGCCATTAAGGAAGTAATTGCAATTTATATTAATATATTAATTTAATAATACACCAGTACCAGTGCAGGTACAGTATAAACCGAGTGAGATTCACGAGGAAGTTATTAATGAAGAAAAATGTAACTTGGAGAAAGAAGGTAATAAAATGGAGTCCGAAAAGAAACATTAGTGGATAGAAGTTAGCAGGAAGAAGAGTAAGTATCAGAATAATCAAGTATGGAAAGGAGGTAATAGGAATTCTTCGGTAATTCAAGGCTCGGAGCGGAAAAACATCTGG